CTGTAATTTATCGAGTTATGTATGAATTCTCATGGTACTTTCTCATTCAGAGTCAACTCGTACTATTTTTACCTCTCAATGGCATTTTCGTAATTCCTTAACCAGGTAACTTCGGTATAAAAAAAACGCTTAACAAGGATAAATAGAATTTAGAGATCCTGGAGTTAAGTTCTTTTTCGAATAATCTCTAAACTTGAAATTATTCCTTATCAAACTTCTAATTTCTTGTATAAGCCATCAAAGTTTTATTCAGTTACCAACTTTTTATCACATTCGTATTGAGTGTAGGAATTAATTAACTACTCATAAAAGACCAAACATTTTCATTCATGCATTTACCAATACCAACATGGTTCATAAAGCATGAAAATGTAGTAATGTATTACCTAGATTTTCGTGCCATACTGATCGACCATTTAAACTCCATTCGAACGCCCTCGATCTTGAAATCAACTTCCAATAATTCATCATATACATATCAACAAAAATTTCATCAAAAACGGAGCTTAATTACGAAAAACATATTGAATTGGGTGATTAATCAGTGAAAATAACTTACCGAGTTAGAATTTGGCTAAACGGACCTAAAAAATGGACTCATGACGTTGGAAAACGTCAGGATAGGTGATACCAAAATAAGTCAACGGCCGATTAATGGTCCAATCAACGGTTCGGTTAACGGTCCGGTCAACAACGGCTTGGCTCGGACCGGTCCAGCCGGTCAACCGGTTCTCCAGTCTGCCAGACGAATCCCATGCACAGTGGGTGGCACATGCGGCGCGTGAGGCGACTCCAGTCTTCGGACGGTGACAAAAATTTCCAGATTGCTAGATCGGAACCTCGAGATTCTCGGGCAAGTGTTATTTTTCAAAGAAACATAACGGATTGCAGAATTTTAAAACTTACGAACTTCTCCAACGGTGATCGCCGAGTGACGACGACGGAGCAACAACGACGCAACGATTTCGGTCGGGTTTTGAGCGCACGGTGAGTCCGATGGTGCAGGTGGTGAGGCGAGAATGTCGTCGGATCGACCGTAATCGACAGAAAACAAAAGGCGATCGAGTTAAAATCGAAGAAGCTTCCGGTTCAATTTTACGACGAACGGCGTCGATTCACAACGGAATATAGGTCAGGTTTTGTTCTTCGTTCAATGGTGAGTTTATTGGTGGTTTCAGATCGACGAACGGTGGTCTGATAGTGGAGTATCAAAGCTACAAAGTTGGGTCGACAGGGAAGGAAATTGGGAAAAATTGGTGGTTTTGTTTCTAGTCTATAACCAGAAACCAAACATTAAACATTTCAATTTTATTTCGACACAAAATGAGCAAATTCAGGGCTAGGTCCCTGAATTTCCCTCACTTTCTAAAATGGTCTGCCAACTTTACGATTTTACACTTTAATTCTTAATTTCTTCCAAAATACAACTTTAATTCAATACTTTAAAATTTCTAAAATTTAGCCCCTAAATTGGGGTGTAACAGATCACAACGGGGGCTAGTACTTGAAAATTTTCTTTTGGAAAATGCTTCAACGGCACCGGATAATCTATCCCGAATTTCTCTTCCCACTGAGATTCTTTCTGGTTTTTCAATGGCTGCTCCTGCAGTTAAACCTGCTCTTCCACTGGAGTGCCGCCCTTTGGAGCTGCCACCAATAGAGCACCTCTACAGGAGTTGAAACTTTCTTTTCACTAATCATATCAATTTTTTTTTTTTTGCTTTTTCCTGCCAGCTCTTAGCCCCTGCCAGGGAAGACTTCCTCTAAGGAAATACATAAGCACAAAACCAAGGGATTCCAAAACATCTCTGCGACTTTGCTCAATTCCAAGGTGAGTGTTCACACTTGCATAACGAACAGTGCCTGTAAGGTTTTTGTTTTCTCTATATGAGATGTGCTTACACCTTAAATGCACATAAAATACAAAATATTTGCATGCCCCTTATTCTCATATAACCATTATCAAACACATAAAATCATGCACAATTATCTTTGGCAAGTCTGTTATATGCACCTAGAGTTTTCAATTTATAATCTGAAAATTTCTCATCAAACTGGCAGTAATTCAAATATGTATTGTGGCTATGAAACCATTTGGGAATATCCTAGTTGTAAATGAACATTGAAATGACTATCCAGCTCAGTTGGTAGAACACACAAGGTTCTTAACCTTGAGGTCGCGGGATTGAGTCTCATGGAGGACATTTCATAATTTGGAGGTCTCCTACGGAAGCTGTTCTCAACCTAGTGTTGTTGAGAACAGTCTACTATCTTACCTTCCCCTTACCCCATTACATATGAGAACAAGGGACATCCATCCATCCTAGTTGTAAATGAACACATTAGTGCTTTTCATCAAGTAAATGTTCTATTTGAAGAAAAACTTATACTTTTGTTATGTGCCTGAATAACTTTTTTGCAAAATTCAGAGAGCAAACAGTTGCCATTCTAGTGTCCCTGGGAGCAGACCCAGGAGCCCTTACGGACCCTACTCAAGAATTTCCTTTGAGCAGAACTCCTGCGGACTTGGCTTCTTGCAATGGACACAAAGGAATTTCTGGTTACCTTGCAGAATCTTCTTTGACCGGTTTACTTTCTTCTCTTACGATGAATGTTAAAAAAGAAGCTGTACTAATAGTTTCAGAGCGAATCGCAACTCCAGTATATGATAGTGATTTATAAGACCTATCACTGAAAGACTCAATTACTGCTGTATGCAATGCTACACAAGCTTCTGATCGTATATATCAAATGTTCAGGATGCAATCCTTCCAGCGGAAACAATTGAGTGAGTCTGGTAAAGGTGTGTCTGAAGAGCATGCTATTTCACTTATAGCTGCTAAAGCGCGTAGGCCATTCCAAGTTGATCGGGTGGCCCATGCTGCTGCAACGCAAATTCAGGATAAAGTTCCGTGGCTGGAAGAAAAGAAGAGAGTTCTTATTGATTCGGCAAAGAATTGTCAAAATCCAGGTTCATTGCTGTTTTTTCATTTGCCAATGGCTTAGTTTCTTGGTTTATCTTTTCCTCTCTTCTCCTAACTTTTTCTTTGGAAAAGGGTTATTTCGTAATCTGATTGTGTGTGTTTGTTTTATGATGAATCGTGTGCTATCCCGTGTTTGGAGATCTTACGTGACAATATTTTGATGTTCTAGGTGTTTCATAGACAGTTTTTTGATGTTTATGATTTTACACTCCTTTAAGAGATAATAACAAAGGGATTTTGGTCTCTCATATTTAGGGTTTTTGACCATTTCATTTTGGCTGACTGCTGCTACCATGACTTGTACCCCTTGTAATTGTATTATTGTTTACTATATGCTGTGTAAATACCTTTGAAAAATGGGAAACTGAATTGATAATCTTATGATGGAGTGTTATTTTAAGGTTTTGTTGATGTATTATTTTCCTCTCAACTTTAAAATCTTGAAAGAATATTGATTTGAAATTATATGGCGTGAAGGACCATGTTAGAGGCCACCAGGTGAGGAAACAGTATAGAACAATCATCTGGTCAGTGGGAATTCTGGAGAAAGTTATTTTACGGTGGAGACGTAAAGGGAGTGGCTTGCGAGGATTTCGACGGGATGCAATTACCAAGGAACCAGACCCACAGTGCACGCCCTCGAAAGAAGATGATTATGATTTTCTCAAGGAGGGAAGAAAACAAACCTAGGAAATGCTGCAGAAGGCACTTACTAGGGTAAAGTCCATGGCTCAGAATCCTGAAGGACGAGGTCAATATCGAAGGCTGCTGAACTTGGTTCAAGGGATTCGTGAAAACAAGGTATATACTGTTTTGTTTTACATAGATTCCTACTTTAGTAAACTTTACAATTCAGTAGGCTTCAATGATGTTAGTTGCCCATGGCAATTCAATCTGTCTGAGATTGTGTCTTTGCACCTTGTACTTGCTTCGTTTCTGTCATTAGCCAGATTATAAATCTGGCTAAGGTCTTCTTTGGTCATTGCATTTCTTACAGGACAGATTTCGAATTCTTGAGATCATATGCCATAATTTTGATTGTGAAAATGTGCTTATAGTCAGTTCCAACAAATGCACATTCAACAGTTCTTTTACCACAATATTTTATCAAAGCACCGACTATTTTGAGAAAATGCTCCACAGGCTTGCAATATGGTACTGAGTAGTACAGAAGAAGTGGGTAATGTTGAAGGAGATGGCGATGAAGACCTTATCGACATAGACTCTCTTTTAGACGACGCATGTCTATCGCATTTGATTAAAGCTCCTTCAACCTTGCCCCTACATATCCAACCTGTACATAAACCGGTACGGCAGCTTCATTGCAGCAGTATGAAGGGTTTTAACTTGTGATTGTCTGTAAATATAGAATCTAACGCACATTACTTGTTTGTTTCTAGGTAACATAGAACATGTGCTTTACTTTGTCAGGTTAAAATTAATCCCATAAATTCGTGAAGTCAAGGGCTAGAGTGTAATATTTATTGGTTGTAAAATCTGTTGAGAGGAATGATTATTAGTGACATTTTAGAGTTTAATTATGAACATAATGATTCCCTCTGTGTGTTTAATTTCCATTAAAAACATCTCTTGTTTTGTTTTTTCAGTTTCGATCAACAGTCAAAACACTCAAATCTGACAAAACGAGACGAGGCTTCGAAAAATGCAGCCCATATATTAGATTTCAGTTCAGGTTGCCTGTGAGAACTTATGGTTAACTGATTTAGTTGCGCACTATATGAAACTTTATTGATAAGAAGTTTATTTAATATATTTATTATTATTTAGAAAGAAAAACTATAGTATTAAGTTAAAAAATTATTTATTATTTTTATATTTATTTGATATTGAAATTACTTTTAAAATATTTAAATTCTCATTTGAACAATTTATCACTGGCACAAATAAAATGCATGTTAATTCTCTGCCACTTTTGAAATACAGTAGCATAAAGTCAAATGAAAGGGATATTTTTCGCTCATCAATGAATTGAATTTCTGCTTGAGAAACAAAAAAAGTGTTTTGAGAGTGAATGTACATAGAGAAATGTTAAGTCCCCATGGCTCAAGTCCTTGCTGGCAGCTTACACATTTTCCTGACCGTTTTAATCTTTCAAGTTTCTGGGTACAGCTGCATGCAACTCTTCATTTGATGGGATGGTACTGATCCGAAACTAGCTTCGGAGGCAATTTCCGAAGTATAAACAGCACCAAAGCTGATGGAATAATCTCTACCAACTGTTGGAAAAACAACAGAAGCTGTTAGAAGACGAAACTGGTGGAACACAACCGAAGTTTGATCTAATTGTATAGCATGAATTAATGAGTAAGCACGCCCCGGAACCAAATGTACCATGTAATATATAAGATTTAGGAGGGGATGGTATAGAACATCGATATCCGCATCCTCGTCAAAAGCCGAGACCAGAACCTGCAAAGCGAAACCGATGGAAACAATCCCTTGTTATGTATAAAGAAGTTTATGTAGTATTTATGACTCTATTTTTTATCGAAGATGGCTAACCATGAGGCATCTTAGCACGAAACAGGCACAGCATATCCCAGTTACGAAGCCAACCTGCCATAGAAATAGGATCGAAGACCACATCGAATGACAGATAAACAGTTGAAAGGGTATCGAAGCCTTTACAATTACAAAACAAACCTCAAACAGCTTTTTCTGGCGACCTCTGGATTCGATAGGGAAGCGTCTCAACATGTAGAACAACCTAATGATGTAAGTGACAAAAAAAGTGAATAGAGATGGAACAGAAACTGAATGTCGGTTCGAGGCTTGATATTGACTCTTACCTCCCACCGTATAGAATGAACCCGGACGCAGCACAAAGCGAAACAACTGCAAAATGCAAAGAAATACACCAATGCATCACTTTTTCACTCACCCCCAGTAAGTCCATTTACTTCTTTGGAATCCATTTAAATTCGTAGAAAAAGATCACTTGAACTTCGTTGTGGCATTGGAAATGCAAATTCAAAGCAGATTTAAAGAAGAAAAACTTACTTGAAATAAAGACTCTAGCAAATTCGATCGCAATCGGGCTTTTACTTAATCGTATGGAAATCCATATGCACACCTTTTAGCACAAGAAACAGACAGGCTTCTTTAGATGGCATTGTAAAATCCAAAAACCCATCATTTTAGGTGATGTACAATTACATTGTTACTTTTACCTGAGCAAAGTATATAAATCCGTTGATGCTATAGTATGCAGGTCTTAGTTTATTAATAGGAAGACTTCTTGCCTAAGAAACAAAAAATAAAGAAGAATCGATTTAGTGTCGTGATTAAATTATGCAAAATGACGACATAGCAAAGAAGAGTTGTCTACCTGGTAATATATCTCGGCCCAGAAAAGAACAAGCAACATATATGTTGAAAAAAACAGAAGGTTAGGAAGATCCAGAAGCACCATTTCGAGTGCCTGTATACCGATCGATGTTATGGTTAAAGCAGTGAAGCTGAAATTAGAATAGAACGATATTTGCGAATAATCTACTGATTTCCCAATACCAAAATCAGAATGTAAACAATACAAACATCTAGACATCATATGGCAGTTGGTATGATACCCTAAAGAGAATTACATGGCCATGCTATCTAAAAATGCTGATTCACTAGAAGTAACCATTAAAATCTGGTGCATCGACTCTATACATCGGGACATACCTTGGATTTAACAAGAAACACGGTCTTGTAGAAACAGAAAAGAACAGCCCTCACTGTTAGAATGCCATACAATGATTTGTTTTAGCAAAGTTATAAAACAGCTAGTTGAAGGACTGTGAGAGATATAATACACAATTCTTACATCCATTCACAACAAAGTTCATCAAGTGAAAAACCTTTTGTGTCGTCCACCCGTACTCCGGCACTCGCAGTTGAATCCTGCATAATTGTACCTAAAATCGAAGCATTAATGCCATTAGAAAACCATAATCTTGCACCATATGCTCATGAGTTTGGACAGTATCCAATAACATTATAAGTTGCAGTGAAATAGAAATGGTGGGGTTTACATGAATCTCATATAGCATAATATCAAACACATAGTAAACATACAGACATATCAAATTTCATACAAAGAAATTCTACAATGTTGTTCTTCCTAGAAGACGCGGGCTCAACCACATAAAGATTATGATATGAAATACTTGCCTCGATTCTGATTGCAGACGAACACATAAAGATTCAAGCTTTACACTAAAACATCACATGCATCAAAGTCATTTATATTTTTCATTTCATCCACGTTTCGTTTCATTTAAATCCCATTGAGCAATATGAAAAATGCATGAAATTAGCATACCAGAGCAACAAATGAAATAAGAGCATAAGAAGCAGACAAGAAATAGAAAATGGATCTCTGCCACTCGTCGGATTTATCAATCTCATCCCACCAACCAAGCATTCCCACGACATGCTTCAACAACGACGGTTTCTCTGTAAGAACAAAGCCCTTTACTCTCACCATCTGAAGCAACTCCCTCAACTGTGAAAACAAGGAAAAATAAATGAATAAATAACTAAAACCAAATAAAAACAAGAAAAAGTATCGATAAGAGACAACGACCATTGATGAGTGGGGAGGAGGAGGAGGAGAAGGGTGTGGAAGGAAGGGACACGTGGAGGGAGGGGAGAGAAGACACTTAGGTAGGAGTATGCCACTTGTGGGGGAGAGTATAACGGTCGAAACATATATAGTTAGTGACATGTTCGTGGATTTCGGTAACAGACAGCAACTGTGGTTTTTGATTTTTAATTAATGTTGACGGTTAAACAACATCGTCGGTAGAAACAAGTTATAAACCCAAGCTTAAACTTCAACCGGTAATTGCCGTGAATAATAATGAAAATTATATAATCATCATTTAAATGGATTTCTAATTGATTAATTATTTAAGGAAAATTTTATAGCGTATGTACATCACTAGTTAAATTATTTTTATTAATTAAATATTAAAAAGATAAATTACAGTTTTATACCTAAATTATCACATTTATTTAATTATAGCATTTAAACTTTAATTTTTTAAAATCATTGACGGTAATACTTGTATGGCATATTTGTTTAATTATAATATTTAATCATTTGTTTAATTTTTTTAATTACTACATCACCTTATTGTTATTTGTCAGGATTTTTAATTAATTTTATTCTACCAATTAGGTGATGACATGTGTCTCTACCTATGTGATAAAAAAATAGAAATCATTCTTGGTCCTAGTATGAATTGATATTGAGTATCTTACATGAGAAACAGATCACTAAACCATTGAACTAAACTAGTCATTTGGATAAACTTCACCACATTTTGTATTTAACTTATATAACAATATCACCACAAAATCAATATTTTTCGATTACTATAAGATACAAATATGAACACTTTAAATTAATCACCGAAAGTTTAGTCATTCAACTATAATATAATTTTTTTATAATTGAACTTAATATTATTTATAGCATTATTAAATTAAAAGTTAATTTCTAACTTTTATTTATAAATAAAAATAATTAAATAATTTTTATATTTTTATAAAAAAATATATGGAATAATTATAAAAAAGTATATTTATAATATTATAAAAATATGTATTTATTTTTTAAAATCAAATTAATCATTTATTTGAAATGATATTATTTTTAAATTATCTATTTAATTTTAAATAATTTAAATTTAGAGTAAATCATATGTTTATTGTCCATCTAACTATACTTTAGTTTCGTACAACATTATTTAAATTAAATAGATAATTTAAAAATAATATTATTTTAAATAAATAAAAAATATGATTTTATAAAATAAATAAATATTTTCATAATATTATAAAGAATTGTTTTGAATAATTTAATATAAGTTTCATAAATTTAAGTATTTTTTATTTTCAAATAAAGTGAAAATTTATTCTTTAATTTAATAATGATTCAAATAAGTATTAAGTTTGATATAATAAAAACAAATTTGCATAATAGTTGAATGATTAAACTTTCGATCATTAATTTAAAGTGTCACATATTTATATTTCAAAATTATCGAAAAATATTGATTTTATGGTGATAATATTATATGAGTTATATACAAAATATGATAAAATTAATATAAATAACTAGCTTAATTTAATGGTTGAGTGCCTTTCTTTTCATGTAAGAGTCATAGGTTCAATTAATGATAAGAGCCCGAATATCTTTTATTTTATTCTCATAATTGGTGACACGTGTCACCATTTAATTAAAAACACTAACGAATAAATAGAAAAATGATATGTAAATTAAAAATTTTAAAAAAAAATGAAATGTCATGCCACATCACATTGTCGTTAATAGTTTTGGAGAAAAATATAAAGTTTAAGTATTAAATCGAAATAAAAATGTTAGTGTAAGTATTAAACGTAGAATTTACCCTTTTAATATTTACTTAATAAGGACATTTTAGTTAGTGGTATTTTTGGTATATCGCTTTAGTGGTATGTTGCGGTGTGCGACATGCACCGTAGACTCATCCAATTAATTAAACAGTGAGGCTACCCACATGAAGATGAGTGTATAACGCACATCGCATATAGGCATGTAAATGAACTGAACGTTCAGCAAACCGTTCATGAACCGTTGGGCAGGAAGTTCGTTTATTTATTAAACGAACGAATATGAACAAAGGGCTCATTCGTTCATTTACGTTCGTGAACGTTCGGTAATATGTTCATTTATGTGCGTTCATTTATGTTTGGTCCACTCTATCCAGACCCATTTAAAATATTAAAGCCAATAAATTTTAATATGAAACCCATAAATATTTTAAAATTCAATTAATTTTAAATACAAATAAAAAAAGCTCAAAACAATTAAATAAAATATAATCCTAAAATTGTTAGGAAAGAAAAAAAATCTATACTCATTTATGTTCGTTTACGTTCATTTATTGTGTTCGTTTACGTTCACTTACGTTCGTTTATTGTATTCGTTTATGTTCGTATACATCAGTCCGTTTATGTTCGTTCATTTGTGTTCATTTATCATTTAAATGAACAAACATGAACGAACACAAACAAGCTACATTCCTTAACGAACGAACACGAACAAGAAATTTTTTGTTCGTTTATGTTCATGTTCATTCATTTGTTCGATTAAAGTTAAACGAACGAACATGAACATACCCCCGTTCATGTTCGTTCGGTTCGCTTACAGGCTTAGTCGCATATTGCAATACACTACTAAAGCCACGTACCGAAATTAAATATTAAAAAGATAAATTATACGTGTAGTACTTACACTATCATTTTTATTTTTCTTTAGTCCCAAACTTTTTTTTTTCAAAACCATTAATGACAATGTTGATGTGGCATGTCATGTCAATCTTTTTATTTTCCACATCATCTTTCTGTATTTTTTATTTTACTTTATTCAACCAATTAAATGTGACACATATGACGAACTATGGGGATAAAATAAAAATATATTCTTACTCTTAGAATGAATCGTTAGGCATGTTGCATAAAATGCATGGTACTCAACCATTGAGTTAAACTAGTAATTAGAGTCTATTTCACCACATTTTGCATTTAACTTATATAATAGTATCATTACAAAATCAATAATTTTTTATAATTGTAAAATTTGAATATGTATCACTTTAAATTAATGATCGAAAGCTTAATCATTTAACTATAATACAAATATATTTTTTATTATATCAAATTTAATACTTACTTATATTAGTATTAAATTAAAAAATAATTTTTACTTTATTTGGAAATAAAAAATAATTAAATAATTATTTATATATATTTATAAAATTTATATTAAATTATTCTGAAAAGTATATTTATAAAATTTTAAATTACTTATTTAATTTTTAAAATCATATTATTTATTTATTTGAAATATTATTACTTTTAAATTATATATTTAATTTTAAATAATATTATACAAAACCAAAGTGACAGTTGAATACTAAATGTATAATTAAAATTATTTAAAATTAAATAGATAATTTAAAATATTATTTCAAATAAATAATTAATTTTATTTTAAAAACTAAATCAATATTTTTATAATATTATACATATTTTTTAATAATTATATTATATAATTTTTATAAAAATATATTAATTATTTAATTATTTTTTATTTCTAAATAAAGTAAAAATTAATCTTTTAATTTAATAATGGTATACAAATTAAGTTCAATAAAAAAAAATAACACTATAGTTGAGTCACTAAATTTTTGGTGACTAATTTAAAGTATCTCATATTTGAATCTTATTGTCATTGAAAAATATTGATTTTGTGGTGATACCGTTATATAAGTTAAACACATAATGTGATAGAATTTAATCAATGACTAGCTTAGCTCAACGGTTGAGTGATTTGTTTTACATGTAAAAGACCCAAGATCAATCCATACTAGAGCAAGATTGATTTCTATCTTTATATCCCCATTGGTAATGACATGTGTCACCACCTAATTGATTGAATAAAATTAATTAAAAATATCAACGAATAAAAAAAAAGGTGATGTGGTAATTAAAAAATAAAAATTTGACATCCACATAAGTATGATCGTTAAAATCATAATCTAGGTACTGTAGACAATATATTTTGTCTGGGTTTATTTGCTCTTATTATTATTAGAATTATATATATTTGTTATTTTTAGTTAGTGTTGATCGGTAGCTATTAGTAGTTAGAGTTAACGGTGTAAGTCAATATAATAATGTATAATGTATGGTAGTGTCGTTTAATATGAAAGTTTGGCTCGTATTCGTTTAGCTTGTATCAGGAGGTAGATCAACATTGTTTCGCTTTAGATTCTATCACAGCAGGAGGTAGATCAGCGTTGTCGAGACGTTTCTTTATCTGGTGACGGAGAGTGCAAATAGTACACCTATGTGTAACTAGTCTCGAAAAAGTAAGTGTTTATCAAAACACAAAATTGTAGAGTCGCCACCAATCTTTTAATGTGGCGAGATTGGTCACCAAATATTATGTTATATTAATAAAATTCATAAGAATGATATTAAAATAACACAACAGGGGTCTGCTTACCAGAAAATGAGTCCGAGAGTCAGTTACGTGTGGGGAAGGATTAGCACCCTCACAACGCCAAAAAATTGGTACCGATGTTAATTAATTAGTGTCTTTGCAATAAATTATAAATTTGTTTTTAACTTTATTATACAAATAACTGAAATAAATAATAATATTAATAATCTCATCATAATACTAAATATTAAAATTACATTGGTTAAGTTATAAATATGTAAATTAATAATCCTAATATAAGATATAAATACTAGTAGTATAATTTATCCTATATTAATAATTAATAATTAAGATATAAAAAAAATTAACATTAATTACCATAATTCGAAATAATATTAAAATAGTGTACTAATAATGTAATTTACCCTAAATTATTATATAGGTCGAAATATAAATTATTAAAGATATTAAGGACTAAATATGGTATTTATCCTAA